TTTTTTTACTATAATTTTATTTTAAATTGTTTAATAATTTAATGCGATGGTTGAAATTGCATGTTATTAACCAGTTTCAAAATTCGTGGGTGAGTTTTTGTTAACGCCAATCTCATGTCATTCTCAACATTTAATTTATTCCTCTCAAACTCTCAACACATGTTTCAACCAACTGTGACAGAATAGTGTACCTAGATTACACTTATTTTAATTTAAAAAAAATATATGAAATTATTCAAACTTCAAGACACCATTAAAAATAAAAATTGCATTATAGTGAATATTTTTTTTAGTTTATAAGTTGGCGACCCCACAGAAAGCCCGTCGCGACCCCCTTCTGGGTCGCGACCCATAGGTTGGGAACCCGTGATATAGACAGTATCATTGTCTAATACAAAACAAAATGACAAATAGAAGGCAATCACCTTTATGTAAAGCTTTAGAAACTATTGTTTAGCAAAGAGAAGTAATTCAGAGTAGAGAAGAAGAATTAATTTAGTTTATATAAACTTTATCTGTCTTTATACATAAATAAATTTTAGAGTATACTGAAAACAAAACTCATTTGAGTCTAGTTTAGAAATTTACAGACAAATGGTTTAAGTTTCATCTACTCATATAGTTTTTGATGTTTTAAATAACTTAATGTGGCCAGAACTTGATCATCATGTTTTTCAACCATTCCAAGTTGATGAAATATTTCAACAATACTTGTTAAGATTTGTTGCAAGTTTATGAGTTGTTATTTGTTGATCTTTAATCATTGCTTCCAACAATANAACGCTCGTCAAACGCCGAGCTAACGCGCGTTGAAAAACGCCTAGTGTGTACAGGGCCTTATATCTCATATATGAACCTGCATATATATCAAAATATTTAATTTTATTTACTTGGATTTTTAGAATGACTTTAATTAAAGCACAGTTTCTTCTAGTAGCTGTGAAGAAATGATTGTTTATTTTGGAGTACAACTGCCATATTTAACCAATGTTTCATTCTGTAGTTTCAACATGTTACAGCATTAATAAAAACAAATTTTGTGGTTATAATTTTGTTTTATTCCTTCATTATTGCATTGTAAATTATAAAAATTATTCTGGTTATGACTAAAATGTAGTCATTATATTTATTAAAATTTGATTTTACTTCACAGTAAATATCTATAAAAATGTTTTATTCTTATTAGAATGAAATACATCCTAAGAAAAGTATAGGTCTGTTTGTTTTTATGAGATGTGTCAAAGAGTACAAGAATACAGTAGAGCATTGATTATCTGACCCCCGATTAACAGTCACATCGGTTAACCGACCGCTCTAGTCTGCAAATTTCAAATGTCCGCTAGTGATGTGGCACTACAATATTTGGCTATGTCTTGGCTACTTTAATATTATTTTTGTTAAATTTTTGCGTGTTTTAGCTGGCAACATCGGCTCGACCATAGAAAGGAGGATAGTATTTAAACGAGACTTAATTTTCTAATTATGAGTGGTTGCTTGTTTTGTGAGCAATAAAATAATTTTAAAATAATTTTTAACGATACAATAGCGATGATTATTATTTAAAACAAAATTGTTAGGCTTAACATTGATGAAAATTCAACGCGAAGTTGGTTAATAGCGATATACTAATTACATGGGATATACTAATATACTATACTAATAATGTATTTTTTCATTCTTTTCGGTTATCCGATTTTTTTAGTTATCCAACCAACCTGAGTCCCCAGTTGAGTCGGATAATCAATGCTCTACTGTATTTTAATTTTATTAAAAAGGGAGAATTTATTTAAAAACCTTAATGGCCACTGCTTTAGTGATAACAGAGGAAAAGTATGGCGATAGGCCAAAAAATGACCCCCCCCCCAAGATTTTTACATTTCGGACTCTGGACATATTGAAACATTGAGAAATGCAAAAAAAAATTGTTTTTTTTTTCTGTATGTATTGATGTTAAGTGTTTTTGGGGACACAATTTTGTTCACCTTCATTGGAGCTTAATAACTTTGTGCTTTTTGTCAAAAATTTTTGAAATTTTGCAGGAAGGTTTGATTATTAGGGAATTGATTGCTATTAAATTTCAGTGGTTAAAGGAAGTGGAGAGATAATGGGGATACCTCCAGTAGGGTTGGACTTAATGACAATTTTATTCATTATTAGTATTTATAATTTTTTTTATAAAACTTGTCCCTACCCTGAAAATTAAACTTTTGCCATTTTATAATAATTAAAAATATAAAAATTTTTTAAATAAAATTTGGTAACGGATGGTGCCACCAAAATGTTAAGTGTTGCCAGAAAAGTTGAGCAACTTGTTTCTGGTTTATTTTTTTTTAATAGCTATATTGGAATGTGACAAATCATTTTATTTATGTATATCTGGATAAAGATATATAAAAACAGAATAGTCTGTGACACCAATTATTTAAAATTCTATTAATTAAGATGCTTCAAATTTTGTTACCAGTAGATTAGTCCAACTCACTGTAATTTATTTTGAAGTATAGTAAAAACTTTCTTTTTACAAAAACTATAATATTATTTTAATATATTTTGAATAATTATTGAATGAAAGTATTTATAGTAATGTATTTAAATTTCCAGTTTTATTGTCTTAGGAAAAATCTATTAAAACATAATTTGAAGTTTAAAAAATACAGAATATTTATTTTATATAAAATAATAGCCTTTAAAATTTTTTTGTAAAAATAATTGTAATAAAATTATAGTTTAGAATTAATGGTAAATTCTTAATTGAAATTTTCAGAAAGAGGGAGGAAAGAATGAGAAAAGTCACAGAAACACGACAAAAACTAGAGCTGGAGAAAGATCAAAAGAGGAATGTCGAAATTTCAAAAGAAGAGAAGTCTGCAAAGAAAGAAGCAGAATTAAAACAAAAACAAAGAGAAACAATTAAGAAAAAACAATTAATGTAAATAAAAGTTTGTTACATTTATATTTATTCTTGATTTTTGCTTAATATTTGATAAATGATAAGATTTAATATAGTATCAATATTATAGTTAAAAAAGTTTTCTTGTTTAATATTACACACACAAATGTTGATTTTGTTTGTTTAATTTTTTAAATTTTTAATTTACATTTTAAAGAATAATTGTATAAAAATATTTTTAATGAAAATTCTATTCATTATTTTAATTTTTTTTTTAAATATGAAATATAGCAGAAAACAAAAGCAAGAAGAAGTTAAAGAAAGAAAAAAAAAAGAAGAAAATCGACTGCAAAAACTTAAAGAACAGGTTTGTTTGTTTAAAATAAAAGTTCAGATTTACTCTTGTTCTAGGTTTAACTTTTAAAATTTCTGTGACAAAATGTCTATTTGAATTACTACTATAAAAATCAGAATTTAAAATTTTTTAAATGGGTAATTTTTAAAAAGTAGTTTACAAAATATTTAAATTAATTTGAAAATACTCTTTACTTTTTATTTAAAACTCTATGAGAGTTTTAAATAAAAGGTAAAATCACTATTTTTAAAGCACGAAGTCAGTTTTGAATTCTTTGTTGCTTTTGTATGGCAAAAATAAAGTTGTAAGACACATTTCATAAATCTATTTATATTATTGATAAACATATATAACTGATTATTATTGATGCAAAACACATAACAGAACATGAATTAATGAACTTTTACTTCAATTAGTTGATCAAATGGATATTTATGTATAACCTCGTTCGATAGCAATTGACTGTATGTGTGTAATTCGTATGTATTAGTTATGAGTTATTTATTTGATATTTCTTATAAAGTAATTAAGAATTGATAATTTCTCTTAATTGTTAATACATTTAATTTTTATGTTGTTCAAAAAGATAAATTTATTATTAAAGGAATTTTATCAAATTAATAAATTACATAAATATTCAAATGAAGAATAAAAAATTATTGATAATTACATATTATTATTTGTAATGATATATCAATTTGAAATGTACATATTGCTTTGGATCCATTTTTACTTTAATATTCTTAGAGTTCATCCAGACAAACTATTGAATGTGTCATAAAATGATTTAGGAGAAGAACTAATATATAACTAAGAAATAATTGGTAAATAAATAAGAGTGATATTAAAACATCTCTTAACTCATCTTAATTAATCAGTTACAGTAGCATTCTCATTAACCAAGGTTCCATTATCCAAAGCAAATTTTGGAAAAGTATTTTGTCAATACAATTTGTTTTGTGACTTTTGTGCAGACAATGTGCTTTATTTGAAAGGAATGCACATCTTTTTGTTTTGTTTTTATCTAATCAAAATTAGCAAGTTTTGAGGAATTATTCATTTGGTAACAGTTTTCTAATTGGATAAATTAGGAACATAACAGATTTAAGATTCAGATATTTTGTATTATTTCAAATATATTTAAAATAGTTTAAATAATTTTGATTATATACTTTAATTAATTAATTAATTATATTTTAGCAAAAGTTAGATTAAAATTTGTATGCACCATTTATTTAAAAAATAATAACACTAATACTGTCTGAAATTTTTAATTAAGTTAAATTTTTACATTTTATTATTAGACACCAACCAAATCTACCCTTTTACAAAAAGCAATACATAACAGTTATCAGACAAAAGAAGTAGAAGAGAAAGCAGATAATGAGCAGTTGTCTGAGCAGGATACTTGTACTGTTTTAAATGAAACATACAATAAAAATGAAAAGGATCCAGAAAGGTAATTACATTTATGTAAGAACTCTCTGTTTAACATAATTCTGCTTTGTCATTTCATTACAAATTTGTTAATGATTGGAAGTTTCCCTATCTAATATATTATGCCAACTTGAATAATGGAGGTTATGTTTAAAAAATATTCCAAAGAATAATCAATCAATATATATTATAAAGGTAAGTGTACAATGTGCGTACTGCTAAAACTGAAAAATGAGTCCCGGTACAATCAAGGGAGTTATATGGTGTGGTAGCCCTCTATCCCCCATACATGAAGAAGGTTCCTGTTTTTACCTGAAGGGCGTGCTGTTGAAGATATAAGGGCTGGAAGTTAAGGCTTACCCTGAAGAACTTGGCTTCTATTGTACTATTTTTAGATGTGATTTTTTGCGTTTTTGACTGCGTTTTAGTAGGGTACCACGGGGGATGAAAGAAGTGCATTCCTTAATAGTGGAAGTGTTAAGAGAAAGTGGTGTGCAAGATTTATAGGCGCAGATGTGGTTTTTTGCATTATTGCAGTAAATCGAACATATTTTTAGACCCATGTAAAAATTCTCTTATTAGTCTGGAAATGGAGGACTTAATTCTTTTATTCTGTGAAAACGGGTGGGATTGGCTATAATGTAATTATCTTAATCTTTGCTATCGTTACTTTTTGCCCGAGCAACACCAGGCTCATCTGCTATTTTTCTATAAATGTAATATTTATGAGAACATACTTCCCATGACAGTGGTTTTTTGGAGAGTTTGTTCGTTGTCAGGAGGTGTGAGTGACTTTTTTGGAGTGCTTTTCTTACGTAGAATGAGCGTATTTTGTGTTGTGTTAAAGCACAGTAGCTGCTTTTTTGGTTGTATCCCTGGCTCTTCGGGTCTCCGGAACAGGTAGGAGTAATTTAAGTAGCGTTAAGCCCAGCGTGGAGATAGTTTTGCTCCAGGGAGGCATTGGTGCTGTCAGAGACGATGTCTCACCACAAGATGGACAGCTTTCGGGTCTTTTCCCAGCTCGCTGAACTGGATAAATTCAGACTAATTCCCGCTGGACCACCTCTATGCAGTTTTTCTGGAGGGGCATGCCCCTCTTCACCATCTTCACCTAGTCAAAGTGTACCAGGCACTTAAACCACACTTTCCCCAACCGTCAACCCCCCCCTCAGTTCCCATTGAAAGATAACTCGTCAAGCCTACATAGCCTTACGAAAAACGTGGTCCTTAAGGCCATTTTCAAAAAAATTTTTTTTTGAATTTTTGGAATGTTTTTTAGGTCCCCAAATTTTTTCAAAATTTTTTGCCCGTGCGAAAAATTTTATCGTGATTTTAATGAGCCTTTGATAAGGCTCGATTAAGGCTTAATTGTTTTTTAATGGGAGTTTTTTATCAAATTTATTTCATGGTTCCTAAGTTGTAGTGCACGGATTTTCCTTCGGTAAAGTTATTTAAAGCTAGTTTCTGATGTCAAAAACGACCTCCGATAGTTTTTTAATTTTTTTTAATTAATCGATTTTTTTAATATAAAATTAATTAATTAGGGGGGTCAGAAATCGCAATAAAATTTTGAATTCTTTAAAAATATTTTAAAATATAGGTGTCGGTCGAAGTCACCCTACTTTAAACCCTTGACCTCCCGTGGCATATATGAAGATGTCCCGGGAAATCCAACTCCAGTTGTGTTCAAGGTCACCCAGCTGTGTAAACAATGACTCATCAGTGTTATATTTCACAGAAAGGCGAGACAAAGGAAAATAAAATTTGAAGCTTTTTCTTCAAAATTAATGCATTTCTTTCGTTTTTTTCAGTTTTAAGTATTTTTAATGTATTTTAATATTAATTTAATAAATGATCGGGAATGAAGGGGTTAATGGATGTCTAGTATGCTAGGGGCAGTTTCCTTATAGTAAAGTCTTGGGATACTAGGACTATAGAGACAGCCCTCCAACTCACAGAATTGGCGGGTACCACAGTCTGGGGCTGCCTTGCACCTAATAGCGCCCAAACGGCATATCTACTTTGTGGTGTGGATCCCTCTATCTCCATACAGGAGATTCTCAAGGCCTTAATGGAGGCCGGGCACCCTGTAATAGAGGTCCGTCGCTTTATGCATGTAGACATCTGCCACCCAAGTCCTACTGTCTATTTTTCAGTAGTGAGAACCACCCATATTTCCTCTGTAAAGCTGTACTATCAACGCTTCTTATGCGAGAGATATGTTCCATGGCCTTGTCAATATGCCTGCTGCCTGTCTTTCGGGCACTCGGCGAAGACTTGCCGGGGGCACCGATGCTGTGATCGGTGAGGGGAGGACCCGGCCCTCTGCGCTAAGACCAGTCAACGCTGCATCTGGTGCAAGGGGATCACAGTGTCATCTCACCGCAATGCCCGCTGTACCGCCGGGAAGTCAGCATATTGAAACTGTGTGCTCAGCAATGCTGCTTTTACTCAGAGGCCAAAAAGACCCAACGGGGGAGTCCAAAAATGTATGTACAAACAGTGGCAGCTGCCACATTCCCGCCGCCATGGGCCTGTCCTCGATACCCCAAAGCTGTGAACATGAGCTGGAAGGTCTCTGATATGACTTCAACAAATTTATATACAAGGAGACATATCTGTATCCAAATATGAAGAATAAAATATATATATATTTTGTATGTATATATATATATATATATTGTCGACTCCCCTCCTCCCTAGATCCAGAGTTGAACAGAATTTTCAATGTTAAAGAATTTACAATATTTTTTTCTTTGATCTGAACATAAATTAGATGCTAATCACCGATAAACAATTTAGTCCAATTCTTCATACTGTATTGTCTCCAATGTGACCTTTGACGGACCCGGGAGTGCCATGTTTTCTTCGCTACTCATGTCATCATCCTCTAAACTGCTGAATAGTGACTGAAGGATGTTTCCAAAAAGGCCTTGCTGTTTTGGTGGCGGTGGAGGCATTCTGAAAAATAACTGGCCAATTTTATCAAGATATTTTAAATAAGTTAGATCGCGATTTAATGCTATCCGATACTGCTCACACAATACTGTAAACACAGGCAGCTTCCCATTGTCAATGGCAGGAAGAAGAAACCAAAGAAAATTAAGAAGTGGTAAAAGAAAGGGAGGTGCTGGGTTTACTTTTGGATGTTTCTGTGCATATGCGTGGAATGCTATTGTTGCTGTCGCTTTATTTTTAAGGCACAAATATTGGAAAACAGCTTGCGGTGCTGAGTATGTGCCTCGAGCACCTAATAAAAACGATTGATTGATTGATTGGTTAACATTTACACCCCACATGGCCAGCTTACCGATGAAGCCTTAAGCAAGGCCACCTAGGATGACCACAGGCCATGACTGTTGGGGGTCAACTGGAATGTGCACCACCCCCATTGGGATGCGGGTCACGCTCTTTTCACATGGCTTTTGACGGCTGACTATGACTGCCTCAATTCCGGGGAACCAACCCAATTTTTCTATGGAGGTGAATCAGCTATCGATATAACTTTTTGCTCAACCGATCTTCTGGGCTCAACAATGTGGGAACCGTGCAGGGACACGTTGACAAGTGATCATGCCCCTATTGTGACAACAGTGAAAATGTCGGGGCCCCTCTTGGATGCACAGTTTCCCACGTTAAGTATCGAATGGACTGGATTTGGTATGCAAACTGCTTGCGGCATAACCTCAACCCCCACCTCACACTTACAGTGCCTTTTTTTGGATAGTTCGGCAGACGATTTCGGACACTACGAAGTGCTCACTTGCCCCTGTGTAGGCACCTACGGGTGAAGAAGTGGCTGGCCTTTAACTTAGCCTGGAAATTAGCATCCCTAACTTGGTGGAGAACGTATAAAAAGCTGAGTGCAGAGCTCCGTCAGAGCATATGTCAGTTTCGGCGAGAGTGGTGGAGTCAAATCTGTTCTAGGCCCCTCACTACATCCGTGATCTACCGGATTTTCCGACATCTACATGCCCGTTGGAGAACGCAGAGGATCACTTTATCCTACAGAAGCCTATAGTACTTGTCACGCCACACCAACAGGTGGAGGAGTTGGCGAAGTCTTTTGGTCACTCTCAACCACAGGGGTGTTTTATGCCCCTACCAGAACCTAGCTGGCCACAGGCAAGAGGCGTCGAACAGCCCTTCACGCTGCAGGACATCCAACAGGCCCTCTGTAGGCTCAAACCAACTGCACTGGGCCCAGACCAAATTGTCGCACAGGTATTAAGGAGGCTGCTGCCGGACGGGATCAGACCCCTATTAGACCGCTTTAATGAGATGTGGGAGACAGGGAAATGCCCCCTGATTGCGAAATAGCCACAATCGTACCACCCATTGCCAAACCTGGGTGACCGTCAACGATGGTGAGCTCATACTGGCCATCTCCCTCACCTTGCAGATAGCTAAAACTTTTGAATGTATGGTCCTTTACCGCATCCAGCTTCAGCTTGTCAGGGAGAACCCCTTCCACAACCACCACTTCAGGTTTTTCCCATATCAGGGAGTGGAGGAAGCACTGGTTGTCTTGCATCATACCATAGCAGTAGCTCGAGCCCAGCATAAGTGGACCTACGTTATAGCACTAGACCTAGAAAGGGCGTACAACTCTGTCTGCCAGAATGGGCTTCTGACAAAGATGGCGACATGGGTTCAGTGGCAAAACCCTGAGATGGCTAACTTCCTTTCTTTCTGCAGTGCTCGTTTTGGGTACGCTGGAGAGGGTTTTTTTCCTTCCCTTCGTGACTTAGTCCAGGGTGTCCCGCAGGGGAGTGTCCTTGCACCCCTGCTCTTCACGTGCTACATGGCCGACCTGTGGACAGCACTTCCGACTTCGGTAATGACAGCTGTGTATGCAAACGACCTGTACATCATAGCAACCAGCGCCAATCAGGCTTGCGCGGCTAGTTATGCACAAACAGCATTACACTTCCTAGACCACTGAGTGGCAACTTTGAGTTTGTCATTTTCTGCAAAGAAAAGTGCGGTCATTGATTTCTTCCCTAAGAAGAGGAGACCGAG